TTTTTTATTTAAATAATTGAATTCTAGTAGAATTTTCTCATAAAAATTGATTTAAAAATGGATTTCAGTTAAAATTTTAGATTATAATTGAATATTAAAAGCATTAGAGCGTAAATTTTTAGAAATAATAGAATTTTGAAAAGGTTTTAGATTAAAATCTTTGAAAATTTGAATTTTTCATATTTTTAACTAACAATTCTGATAGAATTAATTTTTTTTTTGAGAAACTTTAATTGTGGATTTTTTTTATATTATTTGAAGTTTTTATTTTATAATATATATATGGGGCATTTCAGGCCAAGTCAGAAATCATTTTGCTTTTGCATCTCAAATTTTTTTTAAACATTTTTTTTCTTTTAGTACTCTTTGAAATGAGCTGCCTTGATTTTTTCAAATTTTTTCATAAAGCGGTTCAGGAGATACAGATTTTTGAAAAATTACGTTTTTTACGTAAATTTTTTTTTAAATGCCTGTAACTCGGTAAAAAATTGATCAAATTGGACGTTTTTATAATGAAAAATTTTGTTTTCACGCGTAGTTTTTAATAAAAATATTTTTAAATAATTTACGACAAGATTTAAAAATGTTTAAAATAAAATTTCATTTTTAACAATGTATGTATCGATCAATTTTTTTCAAAATTTTTTGTAAGAAACTAACACTAAATTATCAATTTTTAAGCCTTGTCCGATTTTGGGGAAACGATGGGATCTATTTATTTTGAAATTTTTAATTTTTATATACACAGTGAAAAGGGTAGGCCTAAATTGCCATTTGACTAAATCACAATTTTACACAGAAAAAGGGTTAAGTTTTGAGAGACTTATGCCCGGTTACACCAACTCGTAGTTAAAGGTTCGATTAACCGATTAACTAACGGTCCGCTAAAGTTTAAGGCGCTGTTAAGTTGACTTTAACCGCCTATGCGTTCCACCAACATGTTATAAGCCATGCCATGGTTAACTAAACGTATACTATGTTCGAAATAACAATACTTTCTCTATTATGAATATTATGATTGGTCAATTCTAACGAAAAGTGTACGTTTTCTAGATAGAATTTTGACTTTTTCCCTGATCCCTCTTTAAAAAATTGAAACAGTTAAAAATAAAATTTGTTACTGTACCAAACTTCGGTCTATTATTTTTAAAAATTACAATAAAATTCTTTAAAAATTCAAATAATTTTAATAGAATTTAGGAAATTAAAATTATTTTACAAACTTCCAATTACTTGTTTATAAAATTTCAATCATCTTCAATTTAATTAATAATAACAAAATTGAAATATTTTAAAAACTTTAATTTTTACAATTTTAAATAAAATTTTTCGAGACTTTTATTAAAAAAAATTACCTAATTTAAATCATTTTAAAATTTACTAATTATAAAAATTGTAATTGTAACTTTTTGTACAAATGAATTCAATTATTTATAAATTATTAAATAAAAATTCTTTGAGACTTTGGTTTTTTTTAATTTCTAATGAAATTTTTTAACAAATTGTATTATTTTTATGTAATTTTTATGTAATATTTTTAAGACAGTTTCACAAAGTTTCAATTAATTTAATAATTTTTTAATAAAATTATTTTAAAAATTAAATTAAAATTTCAATTCAATAATCATTAAATTAAATTTAAAAAAACTGTATTTCGTTAAGCTGACCACGAGAAAACTGCACACTATTAGAAATTACAAATTTTAATGAAGAATTAAAATTATTTTCAACTGTATACAAGGGTATCCGGACAAGAAGTCCAATCAAAAAATTCCAAAGTAAATGAAATCCAAAAAAATAAAAAAAAATTGTTACACTTTGGACTTATTTTTTGTCCTGATCAAAAAGTCCAAAGAAATTAAAAATCCAATGAAAAAATTGAGATATCAAATTCTAAATGGTTGCCTTGAATAAAATTGTTCTTTTTTTGAGTTGCTCATTTCGCTGACTGTGAATCGAAAGTACATAATTTAATGATTTTATTTTTTAAATTTACTTGCATATAGTTTTCTCGTATGCATTTTAACTTATTCAGTTTTCCTATATACACTTGAATTGTGGGAAATTGATACTGCCCCAACAAATTTTTTATTATTTTTTAATAAAATTATTTTAAAAATTCAAATGTTTCAACAATTGAATTAAAATTTACAATTTTATCCGAATTTTAAATAACATTATTTAAAATTTGTATTAATTTAACGCTAATCATGTGTTTATTTTTTAATAGAATTTATTTAAAAAATTGAAGTATCTTTGAACAATTGAATTAAAATTTCTTTGAAATAAAATTTATTTGATTTTTCCCTTAATTTTACTGACTTATGGTTCATAAAATTTATTTTTCTAGCAACAAGAATTTCACTATCTGTCACTTTTCAAAACACTTTTTAGGTTAGGATACGTTAACCGACCTATTGTGGCCGGTTAGATTTAACATCGGTTAAATCGAGATAACGTTCCGTTAAAAGTTGGTGAAACGCAAGTAGAAATTTGACGGTCCGTTAATGTCTTAATCGAGGTTGGCAAAATTAGCCATTTGGCCACCACTGCTTATATAAGAATTAAAAATTTCAAAATAAATAGATCCCATCGTTTGCCCACGATCGGACAAGGCTTAAAAATTGTTAATTTAGTGTTAGTTTCTTACAAAAAATTTTGAAAAAAATTGATCGATACATACATTGTTAAAAATGAAATTTTATTTTAAAAATTTTATAATCTTATCGTAAATTATTTTTAAATTTTTTAAAAATATTTTTATTAAAAAGTGCGCGTGAAAACAAAACTTTTCATTATAAAAACGTCCAATTTAATTCAAAAATCTGTATCTCTTCTTCTTCTTCTTCTTCTTTTTAAATGACTTGAGGCTTAGCCAACTGTCAGAGCAAACAAATCTGTATCTCCTGAACCGCTTTGTGAAAAAATTTGAAAAAAATCAAGGTAGCTCATTTCAAAGAGTTCTAAAAGAAAAAAACTGTTAAAAAAAATTTGAGATGCAAAAGCAAAATGATTTCTTACTTGGCGTGGAATGCCTCATGTATTTAATTGAAGAATTTACGAATAATTGAAATTTGGTAAAATTGAATATTGTAAACAATTGAATTTGAAAATTTTCAAAGAACGTTTTCGAAAATTATTAAAAATATTCGATTTTAAGAAGAATTTTAACGTTAAAAATTGTTGAAAATAATAATTGAATTGATAATGATTTTATCACTCGGTCATCTTTAATTGTTATAAAACGTGAAGAAATCGATCACTCGGAGTTATCGATTTCTTCATGTTTTATAGTAGTTATAGAACATTTTTATTTATAGTTTAAAGTAAAATGTTCTCTTATTTGACTCGGACTGGTTATATTTTTGTCAGTTGGTCCGTAAATGGTCCGTGATTTTTCATTTTTGGTCCGTAATAGTGTTGCCGCGATAATGGCGAGAGGCGAGACGAGACGAGAGAACTTTGACTCGAGACGAGACGAGACAGTATTTTTTTAATTATCGCTAAAACGATACAAGACGAGAGAGGTGTCACGAGAGACGAGAATTCTCGATGAGAATTTTTTTTAAATTGCAAAGTTTTATTCTGAAAATATATAGTTACGGTTAACATATATATATAAAATATGATAGATATATGTATATACTAAAATCTTTTATTGTTTACGTTGCATTTAATAGTCTTTTTAAACAAAATATAAGAAATTATAAATATTTTATATAAATTATATTTTTTTTATACATAATATTTAGTAAATAAATTCTTTTTTAACTAAAAGTTGAAATTTAATTCATTTTTCAGTGTCTTTTTTAATTTAGCAATATTTAACGGGAAAATAAATTTAAAAAAATTATGAAAAAAAAATTTGGGTTTGGATCATAAATTCAGTTTCTTTGCTTATTTTTAAATATTATTGTGAAAATGGGTTCTATATTTAGCTAAAAAAGTTAGCAACTTTTATATTTATCTTTTTAAAAATTATTTGATTTGAATCAAATAAGAAAGTATTCACTTGAACTTGAATGAAATAATTTTTATTTTACTGAAATAAATTATTTTTGAACCAATGAATTCAGAATTTGAAGCAAATAAAATTTATTTACTAATAAACAAAACAAGTAATCAGTTATTGGAGACAAAAACATTTTTTTAATGCAAAAAATAAAAAAATTTGCATTTTTGATTATTTGAAAATAAATTGTAACTATTATTCAGCTTAACATTTTTTATTCCAATATAGCTAAAATTTTAAACCAGACTATAATACCTGAGAGACTACCAAGTCTCACCTTAATCGTCAAGTCATTTTTTCGTAATGTGCGAACAAAATTTTACAGACATATATGTATATCTAAGATAAATATTAACATTAAAAAAAATTAACACGTCAAATTTTTTACAATACTATACTTCTATAAAGAAAGCTGAAAAAGACGAGAGAAAACTAGAATGTGTAGCATTCTCGACGCTCGAGACGAGACGAGACGATAATGTGTAGCATTCTCGACACTCGAGACGAGACGATAATATGTAATATTTTCGAAACACAAGACGAGACGATAAATTGCCCTATAATAACGAGACAAGACGAGACAGTTAAAATTATCGCCTCGTCTCGTATCGCGGCAACACTAGTCCGTAAGTCCGTATTTTTAAATACTTTCACTGTTTCGAGCCCTGAATGACACACAAAAGATAAAAATGAACGACATTTTCATAGAAGTCAAACAAGTGAATGTCTTTTACTACCTGTAGTCTGCTATCTGAAATCGCCAATTTTGTGCCTTTGGAATAAGCAGCATCGCACTATTAATTAATGAATGAATTATAATGAAAGTTGTATTTTTCATTTTAAGGTTTCTTTCTACCTATTATACCTTACTTTTTTAGTGACAGTATAAATAATTTTTCTTAGAATAGTAAAAACGAAAATAATGATTATTTAACTCTTTTTAGATGTTTGAGGACAATTTCTAATGAATTTTACCCGTTTTTTACAGCTCGTCACCATTAACGTTGTATGATTCTAGTCGTGCATTGCCACCTCCAGCGCATCACAGCTCAGCCAGACCATTACTGGCAAGTCATGCTGCACATCCACTACCTGCACATATGCAACCAACTGCAGTCTATGGTTTGGCCCCTCTTTCTCCAGCAAAACAACACTATCAACCATCCGGTTTGTGGTTTACCGAGTAGACAGTAAAGCTTCTTTAAGAGCGATCGATGAAAGAAAAAGGAAATGATTTATTGTTCTCTAAATATTGGAACATTATAATAATGACGTAAAGCAAAGGTAAACTTTAGGATAAAGAACAAAATTTTTGAAAGTAGTCATCATCACCAGGGGGATTATTCAATGCGCTGACTCTACGGTTTTTTTAATTTTATCTAATTTTTTTCAAGAAAAAAAAAAAAAAAAAACAGTTCTCGATCCAAACGTTAAAATATTAATCCGTCCTATGCAACGACTATCCCACTTGGACTGCCTGCTTATTATCATTATATACACAAAAGTCATCAAAAGAAAATGAGAAATTTTATTCTAAATGTATCATTATTTACAATCATTGAATTATTTACCTAAACTTTTTCTTTGCTTCACGCGTTAATTTAAAAAAAAAACACAAATTATTATTGGACATTAAGAAATTAATCCAAAAAAATGAAGATAAGAGAAAGGGGAAAAAATAAATCGCCAGGATGAACCGGATTAATGAAAAAAAGCAAAATATTTTCTACATCGAAATAAGATGGGCAAAGAACTCAATTTTAATTTAACAGAATTTTTTTATTTCTGAAAATGAAATTTGACAATGAGAAAAAAGAATTTTATGAAGTCTCTATAAATGCAATTTGCATGCTGGCAAAAGAATAAATTATCCGCAATGTTGACGGTGTACCTTAATGAACGATCAAGTCGTTTGGTAAAATCATAATCGATACAACGTATAAGTTGTATTTCTTAACTGAACGTTCGGTGCGTAACACAAAACGTTTTTTGTATTGCCCTTCGTTAACGGAGTTCTTAGCTATTTGAGCAAGATTTATCAATCCGTTTACAACTTTTTTCGGGTCAGTAACGATTCAAGTTCAGCAAATCAGGTCTATAGTGCTTTAGGTTTTAAGTCCTTTTTAAAGAAACAAAAATTAAAACACGCCCTTAGTAGGCGCAACCAAATGCGCGTGTTTAGCAAAAGAGTATTAAAAGTTTTAACGATACTGTTCGTTTTGCTTAAGCTATGTTTTAGTAGATCAGAATAAATCCTGAATAAAGGAATGAACATGCACGAAGTTCTCCTTTTATCCAATTTGTACAGAAGAAGAAGAAGAAGAAGAAGAAGAAGAAGAAGAAAACAATTTTTAATGTAAGAGTCATAATCGGCTGTAAAACTGAAAACTTTTTGTAGTTATGCTGTGAATTTAAAGCAAGGAAAAGAAATAGAAACAGCAATATTATTTATTCATTAATCTCATCTACATTCGTAGTTATCGATCTTAATCGATAGTTATTCGAGAGAAGTATATCAGTCTTATTTCAAAAACTTTCCATAAGTTTATTCTAAGAACAATATATATATATAGTAAGGGACATTTTTCTTTTATTGTTAATCTGAGAAAATGAAAATTATTAATTTATTTTCTCGGAGGAAAATATCTGTTAATGTTACAGATTTAAATAAAAAAAAGTTGAAGCAACAAACCATTCTTTAAAAAATATTACAAGTCTTTTTTGTAAATATTGCCAGAAAAATGTTTGAATTAAAAGAAAGCGATGAAAAATCAGTAACAATCACAGACTTTTTTCTCCACATCCACCATCACAATATACAATAATTTTAGGTCTGTTGCTATTGTCATAATGTATATATTTTTTTGTAAATAGAAAGAAAAAGAAACAAAGCGATTGCATTGCCAGAACATTTGAATCGCAATAGTTTTATATTTGATGCACTCTTACACACGTTTAAACGGGATCATGATATATCTAGCTCTTACTTACAGTTTACTTGACCAATAATACAGTTTTTCTATTGGTTGGTTTGGTTTAGGCTATGTGCGCAGTTCGTTCACTTGGAACATTTTTCATTTTGCGCAAGATTATAAAGTCTGATCCTAATGAAATTGTTTCAATAACTGCATCCTAGAAACTAAATTATAAACGGTCGTAAAATTAGGATTGCAATAGGTCATAGCTGGTGTTCAACACTTTTAATTATCATTAATATTAATATTATGATTATCTCTACTATTAATATCATTCTTATTTTTTATTACTATTAGTTAATAGTTAATATCTTTTGCTTTAAATACCTTTCTAAGAGAGGTAGGAAAATATTCACTGGTTTAAATATTTTGTCACTAATTCCTTCATATTGCAACGAAGGAGTTAGTTTTTCTATCTGTAAATAGACAATTTTTTTGTGATTACGTTTTATAATCATTCTTCTATTTAAATCTTGTTCTTCCTCACTGATTCTGAACATATAAATTCTTAGAAGTAGAAGTACTTTTTATCCATTACTTCTTCTTTTCCTATTATTTCAATTTTTGTCGATGTTTTACAAGCGCATCGATTTAAAATTTTAACGGAATGACGCTTAGATATTGTTTGCTAAATATTTGAAATATATGAAGAAAAAGTATATAAATATATTATACATAAAAGTGAAATAGATTATAAAGGACGGCATTGACGATACATTAATTATAGTTATACGCGTCCAAAATATTAGATGAATGCGTTTTTTGTGTATAAATATATAAAATTATTATAAGACATTACATAAAAAAAAATTTTAGATACGTTATGTAGGAAATTACACGTTCTAAGAAATCCCATCTCTTGATAAATAAAAAATAAGAATAATGCCTCAACGTTAGTTCTACGATGATAAAATTCTCAATCTTCCAACTATTGCGTAAATTTGTTCGCATCTTTTTCATCTCTGTAATTGCAGAATTATTCACAAAAGTTTTTTTTTTCAATGGTAATATTCTAGTTGTCGATTTCTCGAATATTTCGTTCTAGTTTTCTTTTCAAAACAAATTCACTCTCGACATTTTTTGACAAAGTTTATGATGCTGAAACTTAACTCTTTATTTAAAATTCAGGCATCGGATATTATGACTTTTTTCGACTATTTTCCAACAATGCAAATTTTTTTGGCTTATTTTCAAAAATTGCGGGTTTTTCGACTTTTCTTCCAAATATTGCAACAAAATACCACATTTTTAGTATAAATTGCAAATTATTTTGATTTTTCTAATGTGAAAAATAACTATAGACAAATTTGTCAAAAATTATTCAAAAATAATTTTTCTAATTAAATTCTCGAAATATACAATATTAAAAAGATTTCCGGAATAATTGAAATTTTGTAAAATTTAATGGAAAATAATTGCTTTTTTTCAAGTATTATTAATTAAAATATTTGAAAATCTACTTTTGAAGAAATTTAAATTGCAAATTTTGTAAAAACTTGGTTCTAAAAAATTATGTTACAATTTTTATTTAAAAAAAGTAATTTTTTTCATTATAACTTTTTTGGAGAAAACAATGTGAAAATTTTTAATTAAAATTCTCAAAAAACTACTTTATGAAATTCAATTATTTTTGAAATCATAATTTTTTAAAATACTTATCTTCGAACAAAGAAAATAAAATTTCTTTAAGATTCTTATTAAAATTTCGGAAAAATCATGTTTACCAATTTATAATTAAAATTCTTCAAAAATTTGATTATTTATTTTATATTTTTCTAAAAATTCAATAATTTTTATTCAAATATAACTTTAAAATATTCAAAATGTAGAAAATTAAATTCCTTACGCTTTTACCAAAAGGAATTAAAAATTTAATTTGACTTTCTTTTTAAAAATACGAAATTATGACATTGGACTAACTTTTGTTCCGATTATTTGTCGGATTCTTTGATTTTATAAAATTTCAATTATTCTTAAAAGATTTTACCAAAATTCAATTGTTTGAAAATTGTTTAATTGTATATTATAATTGAAAGACACATCTTTAAAAAATTATTTAAAAATATTTTAAAAAAATTAATTTTAAGAGTTTCTTTGTTGTAATTTAAAAAAAATATTATACCGTAATAACTTTATTAAACAAATATGGACAATAATTACAGTTATACAAGATAAAATTTTTGTTGCAACACTGAATTAAATAAACGAGTTTTTCGACTTTTTTTGTATTTTAAATCGACTAAAGGGACTTTTTTGTGTCTTAAAGTCGATCCGAGGCCTGAAAATTAAATAAAAAAAAGTTTTAAACATAATTGGAAAAATGTATTTTATTGTACTATAAATTTTGTTTTTAACTTATAGAATGATTAGTAATTAAAAATTGTAAAATGAGATTATCACATTTTTTTTTTGGCTAAAACTGTTGAAAGTGAAAAGATTTTGAATATTTTTATGATTAGAATGAAAAATTCGCTAGAAATCTCTGCAAATATATGTATAAAGATTAGGAAGGCGACTTTTCTGCATCAAAATTGTTAAGATTGGTGAAGTATTTATGATGAGATCCGACGTGTATTAAAGAAAAACAAAACATTTTATTACAATTATAATATCTAACCAAGTCGATGTGCCTGTTTAACAAGTAACCGTATTATTATCATATTTAATAATATAATTAATATAACTTGCTGGAAATATTAACCGATCTTTTATTGATATCGGTAATGAATTAAAATAAAAAAAAACGTTTACAATCAATGTAAGTGTTACGTGTTATCATGAAATCACGTTGATTCGTGTTTAGTACGTACATGATAAAACACCCCCACACACATATATATACGTACGCATGTTCATAATAGAAAGAACTTAAGATTCTTACCATTAGTCATATCAATATGAGTTCCTTTTAAATACATTGCTTTAATTATTATTATCTTCTTTTTTTATTCACTAATTATTGTTTCTAATTAGTTTTTTTTTTTTGTAAAATTAAGTTTCGCGCAAAAAGGTACTGGTAGATTATTATATTAATTAATCCATCACCTGATTAACTTTAGTTTTTTAAAAGTCTCCTGTTGACTGACGTTTTTGTCTGATTTTCCTAATCTTTCGAAATAAATTAAAGGCCTCCATGCCTTAGATACAAATTCAATCTTTAAAATTAATTCCATTTTCAGCAATTATTTTTAAAAATTGTAATATCTGTCGATTCGGTAATGCTAAAATTTTTGTCATATTGATATTGAAATAGGGAGAAAGAACGTCTGCCAATGCGAGTTTATCATCTCAGTCACACGTAAATCATTTACGATACATAATAACGAGTTACTATTAAAAAAATACACCTAATTAATTAATAAATAATAATAATAAATGAAGCTAATAATGCTCTGTGTATAATAATTAAAGTACTGTAACCGTATTGTTGGTTCTAGTTGTGATATTTTACTAAAAAATAACGTCGTTAAGTGAGGGATAATGTTTGTAAATTTTTTCGTAAATCAAGCAAGGAGTGAAAATAATGATAAATATAAAAGAATAACCAACAATAAAATATACCTTAATCATAAAGCCTTAGAATGTACGTGAACGGTGAGAGATAATTGATAGAATAGATTCGATAATGACAGTGTTAATATCTGCTCAAAAAATTCTTTATTAAAGTAATAATCTCACGGGTTTGGGCACACACTTTTTCTAGTAGATTTATAAATGAAAATAAATCACTTACTATAGAGGGAGTGGAAAAGTAGAATTGAAGGGAATGATTTTTTTCTTAATTTAACAAAGTATTTACCCTTTTTGGATTTATTTAATTATCCGTTAATACTAACATTCCATTACAATTGGAAGGTCCTCTTTATTTTTCCATTGTTCACCGATTTTCTCAGTACAATTTCTGTTTTCAAGGCTATTTGGTTCCATATGAAAATATTTTCCATATTGAGGGAGATTGCTCTCAATGAGATTAAAACTTGTAGGATTTTTGGAACAGATTGTGAATGTCATAAAATCGAAACTGTGTATAGATTTAGATATGAAACAAATATGAGTGTGTCTAGAAAACATAACAAAAGATTTAAAAGAAAATCAACATTTACTGATTATAAATGTCAAACTCATCTATTTATTCAAAAAAAATTAATTTTTTCTTTAATTAATACAGAATTCCGAATCTAAAAAATCGTACATTTTTCTAAAATTCATTTCAATGTGAAAAATCATTAATTTTTTTGAATACTGAAACTCAGATTTTCCGGAATATAAATTGAAAAAGTTTCCACTACAAAAAATTTGTTTTCATTGTGATAAGAACTTATAATTTAAAAGTTATTTACTCTTTAAAAAAGAAAAAAAAAATTGAAATCTGACTAAAAATAAAATTTTTGTATATAGTTAATGAGATTTTTAATCGAAATTTTGCTGAGATCTTGATAATTTGTGTCCAAAGAGGATTTTTGAAATCATCTTATGTACATAACTTTTCTATAAGTAAACTATGTGTTTCTATTTTAAAAATAATTGTATTTTTTAGTTCACTGTAATAAACTCTTTTTTTTAAATTTACTTTTCTATGAAATATTTTTTTTTTTTTGCAATTTTCGAGTGCATTACAATGAAACAAGATGAGAAAAATTTGTTCAAAGTCTCAGCAAGCTTAACATAAGATTTTCTGGCTATGCATCAAACAAGGAACTTAAAAAATCATTAGTGGGATTTATTATATTCATATTGTACGAAAATAGCTTGTATATTGATATAGCATTATTGTAAAATGTATTGTGTGAGATAGATGTATTCAGCATCAGAGTGGAAAAGGAAATACAGAGAAAATAAACATATTTTTGGATTTATTAGGGTACTAAACGTGTTCCGTGCGTTTTCATAGAACTAGATTGAAGTGAATAGGTTTTCATTATATTATTACTTGTGAGAATCGGGCCAATATATATATATATATATTGTGCGAACATCACCATATTTTTTGCCCAACATCAATTCTCATCAACTTTTTACATGCCGCTGGTTGGCATTCTCTATTAAATAAATAAAGAATAAACTAATGTCGTAGGTTATCACACTTGTTTCGTTTTCATTTTATCATACCACATAAAATATATTCGTGATGAAAAATACAAATTTTACGTCCAATTATTAACAAAAAAAACTGTATTTACAGGGTTGCCACGCAACCTGGAAAACCTGGAAATGTCAGGGAATTTTTATAAACCTTGAAAAAACCTGGAAAAGTCAGGGAATTTTGATTGGAATCCTGGAAAATTATTGTCTTCTAAAGTTATTGTACTTATTCTTGAAATCTAATTTTTCTTTAATTCAATTTTCTTTTAATTCAATTTTAAAAGAGTTGCCTTTACAATTTTTCTTCGCAATAATTCAATTATTTTCAAAAATATTCAATTTATTTTTACCGAGATTCA